TTGTTAAATACTTATAGTATGCAACCACCAATGTACTGAAGGAATGTGTGTTGTTTAATACTTAGAGTATGTAACCACCAAGGTACTTAAGGAGTGTTTGTTGTTAAATACTTATAGTATGCAACCACCAATGTACTGAAGGAATGTGTGTTGTTTAATACTTAGAGTATGTAACCACCAAGGTACTTAAGGAGTGTTTGTTGTTAAATACTTATAGTATGCAACCACCAATGTACTGAAGGAATGTGTGTTGTTTAATACTTATAGTATGTAACCACCAAGGTACTTAAGGAGTGTTTGTTGTTAAATACTTATAGTATGCAACCACCAATGTACTGAAGGAATGTGTGTTGTTTAATACTTAGAGTATGTAACCACCAAGGTACTTAAGGAGTGTTTGTTGTTAAATACTTATAGTATGCAACCACCAGTGTACTGAAGGAATGTGTGTTGTTTAATACTTAGAGTATGTAACCACCAAGGTACTTAAGGAGTGTTTGTTGTTAAATACTTATAGTATGCAACCACCAATGTACTGAAGGAATGTGTGTTGTTTAATACTTAGAGTATGTAACCACCAAGGTACTTAAGGAGTGTTTGTTGTTAAATACTTATAGTATGCAACCACCAATGTACTGAAGGAATGTGTGTTGTTTAATACTTAGAGTATGTAACCACCAAGGTACTTAAGGAGTGGTTGTTGTTAAATACTTATAGTATGCAACCACCAATGTACTGAAGGAATGTGTGTTGTTTAATACTTAGAGTATGTAACCACCAAGGTACTTAATGAGTGTTTGTTGTTAAATACTTATAGTATGCAACCACCAATGTACTGAAGGAATGTGTGTTGTTTAATACTTAGAGTATGTAACCACCAAGGTACTTAAGGAGTGTTTGTTGTTAAATACTTATAGTATGCAACCACCAATGTACTGAAGGAATGTGTGTTGTTTAATACTTAGAGTATGTAACCACCAAGGTACTTAAGGAGTGTTTGTTGTTAAATACTTATAGTATGCAACCACCAATGTACTGAAGGAATGTGTGTTGTTTAATACTTAGAGTATGTAACCACCAAGGTACTTAAGGAGTGTTTGTTGTTAAATACTTATAGTATGCAACCACCAATGTACTGAAGGAATGTGTGTTGTTTAATACTTAGAGTATGTAACCACCAAGGTACTTAAGGAGTGTTTGTTGTTAAATACTTATAGTATGCAACCACCAATGTACTGAAGGAATGTGTGTTGTTTAATACTTAGAGTATGTAACCACCAAGGTACTTAAGGAGTGTTTGTTGTTAAATACTTATAGTATGCAACCACCAATGTACTGAAGGAATGTGTGTTGTTTAATACTTAGAGTATGTAACCACCAAGGTACTTAAGGAGTGTTTGTTGTTAAATACTTATAGTATGCAACCACCAATGTACTGAAGGAATGTGTGTTGTTTAATACTTAGAGTATGTAACCACCAAGGTACTTAAGGAGTGTTTGTTGTTAAATACTTATAGTATGCAACCACCAATGTACTGAAGGAATGTGTGTTGTTTAATACTTAGAGTATGTAACCACCAAGGTACTTAAGGAGTGTTTGTTGTTAAATACTTATAGTATGCAACCACCAATGTACTGAAGGAATGTGTGTTGTTTAATACTTAGAGTATGTAACCACCAAGGTACTTAAGGAGTGTTTGTTGTTAAATACTTATAGTATGCAACCACCAATGTACTGAAGGAATGTGTGTTGTTTAATACTTAGAGTATGTAACCACCAAGGTACTTAAGGAGTGTTTGTTGTTAAATACTTATAGTATGCAACCACCAATGTACTGAAGGAATGTGTGTTGTTTAATACTTAGAGTATGTAACCACCAAGGTACTTAAGGAGTGTTTGTTGTTAAATACTTATAGTATGCAACCACCAATGTACTGAAGGAATGTGTGTTGTTTAATACTTAGAGTATGTAACCACCAAGGTACTTAAGGAGTGTTTGTTGTTAAATACTTATAGTATGCAACCACCAATGTACTGAAGGAATGTGTGTTGTTTAATACTTAGAGTATGTAACCACCAAGGTACTTAAGGAGTGTTTGTTGTTAAATACTTATAGTATGCAACCACCAATGTACTGAAGGAATGTGTGTTGTTTAATACTTAGAGTATGTAACCACCAAGGTACTTAAGGAGTGTTTGTTGTTAAATACTTATAGTATGCAACCACCAATGTACTGAAGGAATGTGTGTTGTTTAATACTTAGAGTATGTAACCACCAAGGTACTTAAGGAGTGTTTGTTGTTAAATACTTATAGTATGCAACCACCAAGGTACTTAAGGAATGTGTGTTGTTTAATACTTAGAGTATGTAACCACCAAGGTACTAAAGGAGTGTTTGTTGTTAAATACTTATAGTATGCAACCACCAATGTACTGAAGGAATGTGTGTTGTTTAATACTTATAGTATGCAACCACCAAGGCACTTAAGGTGTGTGTGTTGTTTAATACTTATAGTATGCAACCACCAAGGTACTTAAGGAGTGTGTGTTGTTTAATACTTATAGTATGCAACCACCAAGGTCCTTAAGGAATGTGTGTTGTTTAATACTTATAGTATGCAACCGCCAAGGTCCTTAAGGAATGTGTGTTGTTTAATACTTATAGTATGAAACCACCAAGGTACTTAAGGAATGTGTGTTGTTTAATACTTATAGTATGCAACCACCAAGGTACTTAAGGAATGTGTGTTGTTTAATACTTATAGTATGCAACCACCAAGGTACTTAAGGAATGTGTGTTGTTAAATACTTACACAATCAACACAGTGCTTAAGGAGTGTTTTTTGTTAAATACTCACGAAATCAACACGGTGCTTATGGGGTGTGTGTTAAATACCTAAACAATCAACACAGTGTGTGTTGTTTAATAAAAAAAAATAAAGCATCACGGTGCTCTAGGAATGTGTATTGTTTAAAACTAAATCATACAATCATCACGGTGTTTAAGGACTGTTATAATGCATGTTATACTGGTTGTTTAATGTTCGTCATTCTCTGAATGTCTTGATTTGTCTCCAAGGCGGAATCACCAGGGTTCGATTTGAACATTTATACCTCTTCTTGTTTTTAACCTTAGCTATATAATGATCACGGTGCTTTAGGGGTGTGTTTGGACATTTATACCATATCTAACACTTATTTTAATCTAGCAGTTGATCAGCAAGTCCCAAAACAAAGTATCATTTTGAATTATTGTTCAAATTGAGAGCAAAGTCCGCGCACGTTCTGTGATTATTACATTTATAGTATTGACCTGTGGAAAGACATGCTAAATTTTGTCTTGATCATATATAGCGTGCAGAACTATTCTTAATTGTTATGTTCTTTCGTCAATATAAGTTGTAGCAGAACCAGTCGTGGTACATTGGGTCTTTTATACGTCCCGCGTTAGGGTTTATACCACGGACCGGGACGTGCGGCTTTCTGTTTCAAAGGATAAAAGGGATTTATTCTGCCTCACAAATCCACCTGCGGACTGACTTGCTCGTGGCTGAGTATTTATATCTATTCTCAACTGAGAAAATAATTTCCCGCTCAGGCGGGATAAAAACTATTTTATCAAGATCACGTGAACCAATCAGATCTCATCATTCTGACATAGAGGTATGATAATTGTATTTTGTATGTTATTCTTTAATTCACCGCCTCCGTGGTCTAGTGGTAGAGCGTCCGCCCGGAGAGCGGAAGGTCGGGGGTTGGATCCCCGTCCGCTTCATGCCAAAAGACGTTGAAAGATGGTACTTGTTGTTACCTTGTCTGGCACTCGGCATTAATGTACTGGTCGGTTCGGAGTCAGTATACTGTGTCTCAGTGGGGTATTCATGTTAAACTGCGGCATGGCATCCCAGTGGGTTGGACTCTAAATCGGCATGAGTTCGGACTAGTACAGGGGCGGTCGGGTAGCCTAGTGGTTAAAGCGTTCGCTCGTCACGCCGAAGACCCGGGTTCGATTCCCGACATGGGTACAATGTGTGAAGCCCATTTCTGCTGTCCCCCGCCGTGATATTGCTGGAATATTGCTAAAAGCGGCGTAAAACCAAACTCACTCACACTCACTCGGACTAGTACAGGCAGTCACACACACATAAGTCGCTATACAAGTTCAGTAATCTGGGACCCGACGTTAAAGGGCAAGTTCACACGGAAATTAACCTATTTTTCTTGTACTTTTTCCACATTAAAAGTGTTAACCTAGAAGTGTCATAGACAAAAATATAAAAATATCACAATTAATTAACATATTTTTCGCATTAAAACGATTTATATTTTTCACCTTTACCAAGTGTTCTATTTCCACAACAAAAACACCATGGCTTATGCCCCTTGCAATATGACGTCATTGGTGCCAATTGATAAACATTATGACGTCATCATGCTTTGTTAGAGCCGCTTCACGTGGTGTAGGTCTAGGTGTGTGATTCTAGCGTCTCAGATGCCAGCCAGCATAGTGTTATGCTGAGTCACCACTGCGCCGGAGTGTGTCGTAGGCCATGTTGTTTTACCGCAAACTGGTACTTGATATCTTTTGCGTTGAGAATAGACAGGGACCCAGTTGAATTGGCACCAATTACGTCATAATCTAAGGGGGATAACTCAGGCCTGTTTAGCTCGAAAAACGAAGGCCTCATAACGGCATATCATTTTTACACTATTGTGAGCTTCCTACTTTCACTGTGAAAAAAATGAGTGTATATTTTCAAACACAGATACTAATTAATTCTAAAATTGCGTTTTGTTTAGAAAAAGAAAGAAAATGATTTTTGCGTGTACACTTCCCCTTTAAACACCATTTCCATTTTTTGTCTAATGTTTATTATAGGTCCTCGTGAGTACAAGAAAATTGCTGACCACGACCATTAACAAGAAACAAATTAAACCGACTTTTTAGAGATTTCAATTCGTTTTTGGCTGCCATTAATTTGTACTGTGTCATTTCAGTTGGTTACTACGGAGCCATACACTGTTCTTGTCCAGAGATATCATCTGAACTAACGATGTTCCGAGCACCATATCTGCCGAACGGGGATGTCCCGGGCCAAGGGGTCGATAACCGTTCATATTGTGACAGCGACATGACGTACGATGAGAGTAACCATGGACTGGATGATACGTTTGATGAAGATGCGGAGGAGGGAGAGGAGGACCGAGTCAGCCATGATGACCTCGAGGAGGAGGATCATGAGACGTAAGTTGTGGCTCTCGAAACACATTCGACTCGGACATTTGTACATGCAGCCTTCCTGCAAATATACCGGATCTCACAGAATTTCTCACAATTTCAAATTATGTATAGGCTAGTGCACGAGGCCTAATCGGTGAAATTGTTAGTTGGGGTTCATGGCTTGGAAGAGTTCAATCCTTAACTGTGCTAACACTATGTGGGTCGATACTAAGAGATGCACGTGAACTGTGTTCGCTGAGCTTTTCGTTCTCATTCTTTCGCTCGAATCCCGCTGGCGACAAGCGTCTTTCGTGAAACTGTTCATCGACGTAAATGATAGGGGGAAAATATGAAAAGTTGTGTGTTTACTAACAATTCAGTTGGTATATGCTCGGTCAAAGACAAAGGAGCCATGATTTAAAACACATTCTACCATGAATTTGGAAAATATTCGATTTTGATTGGTCAATTACAGAGGTCATCAAATCACAATAAACCCCCTCTCTGATTAAAACATCCCATTCGACGGTCGCACCATCGCGGAAGCTAAGCTTTTTAGAAATAGAAACAGTTTATTCTCCCCAAAACACAGTCGCTGGTACAAAAGAGTACAAAAGAAAAGCATGTATACATAAAGTATTAGTGTGTGACAAGATGACAGTATGTCATGCATGGATATATCTATACATTTTCTGTTTTGTGTTTTCGTACTGCTTTAAATATTTAATCGATATGTGCAAGTATGTCAGATTTCAAAGATTTAAACGGTTTGATTTTACTTTTATCTTTGATGCCCTTATGTTGCAGGTCTCAAATGAACTGGGATGTGTTCCGGGTAGTGCCCCGGAAGGAAGAACATGTACGCAATCTCCGTTTCTGGAACCGCGTGTATGTGGGTGTCCGAATCACATTATGCGGTGTTATTTTCCTCTTTGTCCTGGGTACTGGGACATTCACCAAGCTCTGCTTCCTCCTCATTGCCTACAACATGAACTACCACCACGCCGCCGGGGGAGACGCCCTGTCAGGTGCAGCAGAGGACGTGACTGTCAGAGTAGCGTGGATTTGGTCGATGCTAATCCTTATCACAGCGCCTTATGTCTTCACCATTTTGAGAAATATTTTCAGAGTCATCTTCAAGAAGCAGAAGCAGCTGCAGATAATTCCCTTCCTTGTGGTGAGAAGATGTTGATTTTGCAAAGATCGTAGATAAGTTTTGCAGTCTCTCCATTGTCAGCATTGAGATTAACTATTAAGGTTTTAAAAACATCCGGGCCAAAGTCTCTTTCAATGGTTACTTGACCCAAATTCAATTCAAGAATGCCTCAGTGGCCTGGTTTGGAGCGATACCGGTGTGGTTAACTTCATGCACTATTAAAATAGCCTGTGTCGAGCCAATTTTGACGTCTTTAAGTTCCGTCCGTAAGGCGTGCCATGATCTTGGGTTTGAGCCCCGTTCGTCATGATTAGGTTTCTATGTTTGTCCACACCATACTCATGCTCCGGGGTTTTACCACAGTGAAAAACTGTAAGATTTGCATTACATCTTTCTTTCCTCCCACACCAATCTGACACGCCCTGATATTTCTGAAATTATGTTTCTCGGGGCCTTAATCCCAGCTCACTCACTCTCATGGAGACCGCCTCCGTGGTCTAGTGGTAGAGCGTCCGCCCGGAGCGTGGAAGGTCCGGGGTTCGCTCCCCGGCCGCGTCTGCCAAAAGATTGTACTTGTTACCCTGTCTGACGCTCGGCATTAAGGGGCTAAAGCAAGGACTGGTCTGCTCGGAGTCAGTATACTGTGTCTGAGTGGGGTATTCATGTTAAACTGCGGCATGGTTTCTCAGTGAGCTAGCACTATAAATCGGCATCAGTCCGGACTAGTACAAGCAGGCACACACACACACACACGTGCATGCACGTCACTATATAAGTGCAATTATCTTGGACGCGACGTTAAACCCAATTTCACCTCACCTCACTCTCATGAAATATTTTGTCTGTCTGCATTTATCCGAAACACTGCAGAACCGATCAATTAAGTATGTATAGATGATATTGGCAAATGAAAGTTGGTACAATTACGTACAATCGATCTCAATTTCTTTTCGTTTTTTTGCAACAGGTCATGCTGTTTGAGACCTGTCACACTCTCGGTCTGTGCATATTCGTGTTCTTGGTTGCTCCAACCTTCGATCCTGTCATGGTCTTACTGTTGTGTCAGGGAGTGGGGTTCGTGCCCGCATTCAACAAAATATTTTGGACTCGAAAAGAAAATGCAAACAAAGAAAATAGCCACGAAGCATTTGCGTCTCCATTTTGGAGGTCAGTATCTGTAATAACTTTTATACTTCAAGGAGTTTTCATAGGTGTGTCAACTTGGAAGGGATATGTCAAAACAGCTAGACCTTCCGCGACGGTAATTTTGCTACCGTTGTCTCTTGTTCTGATTTCAATGCGATGGTGGGACAACTTCATACAGAGAAAGAAGTCAGTCACCCCCAAATCTGAAAAACAGAAAGTAGTTACTCGATTCGACAAACCACAATCCTTTACGGATTTACTCAAACGCATCGACACAAACAGAGTTAAAATAGATCTGTTGGTTTCAGTGTGGAAAATAGTTTTAACGTGTATAATTCTAGTTATATTGTTCGGTTCAAGTGGAGGAGAGTGTTGGGACACGTTAATGTTTGAGAGCAAAAGCGGAGTGGGATGTGGCGTGATCCCTGGCTTAAAAAATCTGACGCTTGTCAACCAGTTCAGCACAGACTGTGGATACTACACCCCCTACATTGTAGCTGCTTCGTCCGTAATACTGAGTGGAATTGGATACAAAATGGCCAAGTCAGCATGCAAGATCCGATCTCAGTTGTGGTGTTTCTCCCTTCCACTGGCCCTGTGTACGCCGCTATCCTGTGTGGTGCTGCTGGCTACGATATCTTCAACCTCCATTGAAAACATAGGCTGCGACCTTGCTTGGATATCTTCACACAACCAGTTATTCAAAATCCTTAAGCAAGACACTGAAAGCTATTATTTTCCAATCATTTGTGGCGGTTTCCTGTCGATTTTGCTGGTGTGTGCTCATATATGGGTTCCCAAGGCAGGCAGAGTTGCGGCAACTGACAAGTATGTATCATTTGTCTGTCTTTTATCCTCTATATATACAATTTGCCTTCATATTAATTCTTTTCATAACATGTGCTGATAATTATGATATTTACAAAAAAAGGTTTTCTTAGAAAGTGGAGAGTCAGTGATTGTGTAATTGATATAGAAATAGTAAATGTGTGGCTCGTCTATTTTTGTAGATTGTTCAACCGCCCTCTTTATTGTGGTGCCTTCTTCGATACCTCGCTGATGATGAACAGGAGGTCTGATGACAACATCAACATCCAAAAGAACGATTCAAGGACCGTATGTTTTACCTCATAATATGTGCACATCTTAATTCATTAAAATACGTACTGGCACTTACTGGCACTTACTGGCACGTAGTGGCACGTACATGTACTGGCACGCCGTGGCACGTACTGGCACTAAATGGCACGCACTGGCACGCTCTGGCACGTACTGGCACGTACTGGCACGCTCTGGCACGCTCTGGCACGTACTGGCACGTAGTGGCACGTAGTGGCACGCTCTGGCACGCTTTACGCCAAACGCAATGTGTTTCGGCGCATAATCAAGACTGGTTAATCTCTTGCATTGGCAATTTATGTTTACGTAAAGACGCTTCTTAATCTTTGTAATTCAGATACGTAGAAGACATGCTTTATGTAAATATATGTGTAAATCTGAGTACTTTACATACATACCAATGCATGTTTATTCTGAAAATCTTGTCTGATCAAGCAATGTTTGTTTCTTTGCGAGCCCGATCACCCGACCCCATTAGTCGCTTCTTACGACAGACATGGGTTGTTGAAGATCCCTGTGTACCGGGCTAAACCTTCCCTTGGACAGTTCTTCCCCGGTGATGGTTTTGTCTTGGACAGTTCTTCCCCGGTGATGGTTTTGTCTTGGACAGTTCTTCCCTGGTGATGGTTTTGTCTTGGACAACTCTTCCCAGGTGATAGTTTTGTCTTGGACAACTCTTCCCAGGTGATGGTTTTGTCTTGGACAACTCTTCCCTGGTGATGGTTTTGTCTTGGACAACTCTTCCCCGGTGATGGTTTTGTCTGGACAACTCTTCCCAGGTGATGGTTTTGTCTTGGACAGTTCTTCCCTGGTGATGGTTTTGGTTTGGACAACTCTTTCCCGGTTATGGTTTTGTCTTTGATAACTCTTCCCTGATGATGGTTTTGTCTTGGATAACTCTTCCCCGATGATGGTTTTGTCTTGGACAGTTCTTCCCCGGTGATGGTTTTTATCTTGGATAACTCTTCTCCGATGATGGTTTTGTCTCATGCAGTTCTTTCAAGGTGATGGTTTTGTCTTGGACAGTTCTTCCCCCGATGATGGTTTTGTTTTGGACAGTTCTTCCCGGGTGATGGTTTTGGCTTGGACAACTCTTTCCCAGTTTTGGTTTTGTCTTGGACAACTCTTCCCTGATGATGTTTTTTGTCTTGGACAGTTCTTCCCCCGGTGATGGTTTTGTCTTGGACAGTTCTTCCCTGGTGATGGTTTTGGCTTGGACAACTCTTTCCCGGTTATGGTTTTGTTTTGGACAACTCTTCCCCGATGATGGTTTTGTCTTGGACATTTCTTCCCAGGTGATGTTTTTTGTCTTGGAAAGTTCTTCCCCGGTGATGGTTTTGTCTTGGACAGTTCTTCCCAGGTGATGGTTTTGTCTTGGACAGTTCTTCCCAGGTGATGGTTTTGTCTTGGACAACTCTTTCCCGGTGATGGTTTTGGCTTGGACAACTCTTCCCAGGTAATGGTTTTGTCTTGGATAACTCTTCCTTGATGATGGTTTTGTCTTGGACAACTCTTTCCCGGTTATGGTTTTGGCTTGGACAGTTCTTCCCCCGGTAATGGTTTTGGCTTGGATAACTCTTCCTTGATGATGGTTTTGGCTTGGACAACTCTTCCCAGGTAATGGTTTTGTCTTGGATAACTCTTCCTTGATGATGGTTTTGTCTTGGATAACTCTTTTCCGGTTATGGTTTTGTCTTGGATAACTCTTTCACGGTTATGGTTTTGTCTTGGATAACTCTTCCCTGATGATGGTTTTGTCTTGGATGACTCTTCCCCGATGATGGTTTTGTCTTGGATGACTCTTCCCCGATGATGGTTTTGTCTTGGACAGTTCTTCCCGGGTGATGTTTTTTGTCTTGGAGAGTTCTTCCCAGGTGATGGTTTCGTCTTGGACAGTTCTTCCCCGGTGATGTTTTTTGTCTTGGACAGTTCTTCCCCGATGATGGTTTTGTCTTGGACAGTTCTTCCCCGGTGATAGTTTTGTCTTGGACAGTTCTTCCCCGATGATGGTTTTGTCTTGGACAATTCTTCCCGGGTGATGTTTTTTGTCTGGGACAGTTCTTCCCAGGTGATGGTTTTGTCTTGGACAGTTCTTCCCCGGTGATGGTTTTGGCTTGGACAACTCTTTCCCGGTGATGGTTTTGTCTTGGACATTTCTTCCCCGGTGATGTTTTTTGTCTTGGACAGTTCTTCCCAGGTGATGTTTTTTGTCTTGGACAGTTCTTCCCCGATGATGGTTTTGGCTTGGACAACTCTTCCCAGGTGATGGTTTTGTCTTGGACAGTTCTTCCCTGGTAATGGTTTTGGCTTGGACAACTCTTTCCCGGTGATGGTTTTGTCTTGGATAACTCTTCCCTGATGATGGTTTTGTCTTGGACAGTTCTTCCCCGATGATGTTTTTTGTCTTGGACAGTTCTTCCCCGATGATGTTTTTTGTCTTGGACAGTTCTTCCCCAGTGATTATTTTGTCTTGGATAACTCTTCCCCGGTGATGGTTTTGGCTTGGACAACTCTTTCCTGGTGATGGTTTTGTCTTGGACAGTTCTTCCCCGGTGATGGTTTTGGCTTGGACAACTCTTCCCAGGTGATGGTTTTGTCTTGGACAGTTCTTCCCTGGTAATGGTTTTGGCTTGGACAACTCTTTCCCGGTGATGGTTTTGTCTTGGATAACTCTTCCCTGATGATGGTTTTGTCTTGGACAGTTCTTCCCCGATGATGTTTTTTGTCTTGGACAGTTCTTCACCAGTGATTATTTTGTCTTGGATAACTCTTCCCCGGTGATGGTTTTGTCTTGGACAGTTCTTCCCCGCCGATGGTTTTGTCTTGGACAGTTCTTCCCCGATGATGGTTTTGTCTTGGACAGTTCTTCCCCGGTGATGGTTTTGTCTTGGACAGCTCTTCTCTTGTGATGGTTTTGTCTTGGACAGTTCTTCCCCGGTGATGATTTTGTCTGGACAGTTCTTCCCCGGTTATGGTTTTGTCTTTGATAACTCTTCCCTGATGATGGTTTTGGTTTGGACAACTCTTTCCCGGTTATGGTTTTGTCTTTGATAACTCTTCCCTGATGATGGTTTTGTCTTGGATAACTCTTCCCCGATGATGGTTTTGTCTTGGACAGTTCTTCCCCGGTGATGGTTTTTATCTTGGATAACTCTTCTCCGATGATGGGTTTGTCTCATGCAGTTCTTTCAAGGTGATGGTTTTGTCTTGGACAGTTCTTCCCCCGATGATGGTTTTGTCTTGGACAGTTCTTCCCGGGTGATGGTTTTGGCTTGGACAACTCTTTCCCAGTTTTGGTTTTGTCTTGGACAACTCTTCCCTGATGATGTTTTTTGTCTTGGACAGTTCTTCCCCCGGTGATGGTTTTGTCTTGGACAGTTCTTCCCTGGTGATGGTTTTGGCTTGGACAACTCTTTCCCGGTTATGGTTTTGTTTTGGACAACTCTTCCCCGATGATGGTTTTGTCTTGGACATTTCTTCCCAGGTGATGTTTTTTGTCTTGGAAAGTTCTTCCCCGGTGATGGTTTTGTCTTGGACAGTTCTTCCCAGGTGATGGTTTTGTCTTGGACAGTTCTTCCCAGGTGATGGTTTTGTCTTGGACAACTCTTTCCCGGTGATGGTTTTGGCTTGGACAACTCTTCCCAGGTAATGGTTTTGTCTTGGATAACTCTTCCTTGATGATGGTTTTGTCTTGGACAACTCTTTCCCGGTTATGGTTTTGGCTTGGACAGTTCTTCCCCCGGTAATGGTTTTGGCTTGGATAACTCTTCCTTGATGATGGTTTTGGCTTGGACAACTCTTCCCAGGTAATGGTTTTGTCTTGGATAACTCTTCCTTGATGATGGTTTTGTCTTGGATAACTCTTTTCCGGTTATGGTTTTGTCTTGGATAACTCTTTCACGGTTATGGTTTTGTCTTGGATAACTCTTCCCTGATGATGGTTTTGTCTTGGATGACTCTTCCCCGATGATGGTTTTGTCTTGGATGACTCTTCCCCGATGATGGTTTTGTCTTGGACAGTTCTTCCCGGGTGATGTTTTTTGTCTTGGAGAGTTCTTCCCAGGTGATGGTTTCGTCTTGGACAGTTCTTCCCCGGTGATGTTTTTTGTCTTGGACAGTTCTTCCCCGATGATGGTTTTGTCTTGGACAGTTCTTCCCCGGTGATAGTTTTGTCTTGGACAGTTCTTCCCCGATGATGGTTTTGTCTTGGACAATTCTTCCCGGGTGATGTTTTTTGTCTGGGACAGTTCTTCCCAGGTGATGGTTTTGTCTTGGACAGTTCTTCCCCGGTGATGGTTTTGGCTTGGACAACTCTTTCCCGGTTATGGTTTTGTCTTGGACATTTCTTCCCCGGTGATGTTTTTTGTCTTGGACAGTTCTTCCCCGGTGATGGTTTTTGTCTTGGACAGTTCTTCCCCGATGATGGTTTTGTCTTGGACAGTTCTTCCCCGGTGATAGTTTTGTCTTGGACAGTTCTTCCCCGATGATGGTTTTGTCTTGGACAATTCTTCCCGGGTGATGTTTTTTGTCTGGGACAGTTCTTCCCAGGTGATGGTTTTGTCTTGGACAGTTCTTCCCCGGTGATGGTTTTGGCTTGGACAACTCTTTCCCGGTTATGGTTTTGTCTTGGACATTTCTTCCCCGGTGATGTTTTTTGTCTTGGACAGTTCTTCCCCGTTGATTGTTTTGGCTTGGACAACTCTTTCCTGGTGATGGTTTTGTCTTGGACAGTTCTTCCCCGGTGATGGTTTTGGCTTGGACAACTCTTCCCAGGTGATGGTTTTGTCTTGGACAGTTCTTCCCCGGTGATGGTTTTGGCTTGGACAACTCTTTCCCGGTGATGGTTTTGTCTTGGATAACTCTTCCCCGATGATGGTTTTGTCTTGGACAGTTCTTCCCCGGTGATGGTTTTGGCTTGGACAACTCTTTCCTGGTGATGGTTTTGTCTTGGACAGTTCTTCCCCGGTGATGGTTTTGGCTTGGACAACTCTTCCCAGGTGATGGTTTTGTCTTGGACAGTTCTTCCCTGGTAATGGTTTTGGCTTGGACAACTCTTTCCCGGTGATGGTTTTGTCTTGGATAACTCTTCCCTGATGATGGTTTTGTCTTGGACAGTTCTTCCCCGATGATGTTTTTTGTCTTGGACAGTTCTTCCCCAGTGATTATTTTGTCTTGGATAACTCTTCCCCGGTGATGGTTTTGTCTTGGACAGTTCTTCCCCGCCGATGGTTTTGTCTTGGACAGTTCTTCCCCGATGATGGTTTTGTCTTGGACAGTTCTTCCCCGGTTATGGTTTTGTCTTGGACAGCTCTTCTCTTGTGATGGTTTTGTCTTGGACAGTTCTTCCCCGGTGATGATTTTGTCTGGACAGTTCTTCCCCGGTGATGTTTTTTGTCTTGGACAACTCTTCCCCGGTGATGGTTTTGTCTTGGACAATTCTTCGCCTGGTGATGGTTTTGTCTTGGACAGCTCTTCCCTGGTGATGGTTTTATCTTGGATACTTCTTCCCCGGTGATGGTTTTGTCTTGGACAGTTCTTCCCCAGTGATGGTTTTGTCTTGGACAGTTCTTCCCCGATGATGGTTTTGTCTTGGACAGCTCTTCTCTTGTGATGGTTTTGTCTTGGACAGTTTCCCCGGTGATGATTTTGTCTTGGACAGCTCTTCCCCGATGATGATTTTGTCTTGGACAGCTCTTCCCCGGTGATGGTTTTGTCTTCGAAAGCTCTTCCCCGCTGACGAAATAGCATGGGCTAAACCCTCCCTGGGGAGGGAGTGTCCGAGGCCAGTTCTTCACCACCCATGTCTACATATCTATTGTGACGAATATCGAACTGGATTTTCATCATAGTAAACGGGGGAAATTCAGTAAAAAATCTGGTTTTGCTGATTTACATTTAATTTGTTTGCAATCTCTTTATTTCATGACCTAGTTAGTGGTTATATTCCTTTGTCAAAGCACGCTACAAATATGTATTTAAGCAGACTTCTCCTGTACATGAGTTACATTATATTTCCATTTTTGTACTTTAATTGAACCATTCGAGAATTATGAAGAAAATGAGTTAAAACGTTTTAGAAACAGCCTGAATATCACTTACAGTAGAGAAGCTGTGCACGTGCCAATCATCAATTAGCATTGATCATATTCCATAATTATAAAAACACAAACCTCTCAATATTGTGGGACAATATCTAAAATATTTTCAGATAAATAGAGAAAGAGGAAGTTTCCCCAAACGAGAAATAAAATGTTTCATCTGAAGAAATCCTGAAGGGGAGAGACTTGGCCTCGAAAATCTCTTTCCCCGTGTCACAATATGTTTTTATTCCTGGAGAAGATCTGACCACAGCGAGGTTTGACTGTACAGCATGGTCATAATACAGTTGTTTACAGCTTCAAAGAACATTATCATAGTGCTTTGATTGACCATTAGGACAACATCAGTTAGGCAAAGCGACTGCTTCAATTTCAAAATAAAAATAACAAGGTGAGCAACAGTGCCGAGGCGCCTATTCGTCACCAGCTGAAAACCTCTTTTCTTTTACTATGGGTGAAAAAGAAAAGTCCCAGTAGGAAATGTTAAGCAAGATATACAAAGGCGCATTCTTTATCAAGTGAACCTTCTTTTCCATAATTGTTTCTATGTAACAATAGATTCGAGGTGAAAAACATTCTTTCTTTGTCCTCTGCATTTGATGTTTTCCTCTTCCAGGAAAAGATATACCTGAGCAATACACCGGAGCAGAATCTGTACCGGGAAAGCAGCAGAATCCCGTTTGTGTACATCTGCGTCACCATGTGGCATGAAACGAAGGTTGAGATGCTGCAACTCCTCAAGTCGATACTCAAGTAAGAATGCGTGTTTCTACTAACGTTTCTGCAATGTATTATTCAGTTGGATTAAATTGAATCACTTTGCAGACCATTGTGAGGTCCTTGGTTACCATGATGTCACAATCAAATGACCCCCCTGCTACTGAAGCTGGCTGCTTAGGAGATAAACATGCTGTGTTTTCAACGTGGAGCTAGGTTAACTTAGAATAAACCGCGACCAAATTGAATTTGGAACCGAACGCGCAGTGTGAGTTTTCAAATGTTTAATTCCCCCCCCCCCCCCCCCCCCCCCCCGCAACAAACTCATCCCTCTATTAGTCAGTATTATTTGCGAAATTGATTATGATTTAAGAACTTTGGTCCCAGAATCACTCTTCAATATGTTTTGCGTAAATGTATAGTTTGATCTCAGCGCACAGAACACTTATGCAAATGCATTTATACTGAACAACAAAAGTTCCTGTGACATTGAATAAGGCTTAATGCAAAGTCGTTTTTTACCAAATCTGAAACAATTTCTGTTTGCAACAGATAAAAGACCCCTGTAAGTGTTCAAATGGTTCAATTTGCCATACCGACTTCAGAAATACGTGATTTCATAAAAAAAAAACATGAACGTGCCAAAATGTCAATTTACAAATCAGTAGCGTTTGTGTCCACCTCTGCTTGCGATGCAAGCAACACATCTTCGTCTCATGGAATGGACCAGGCATCGCACAGTCCTGTGGGATATCTGTCCATATCTGCTGGAGCATGTTTCGAAGTTCCTGGAGTGTCTGTGGAACACGTGGTTGACGTCGAAGGCGCCGATCCATCTCATCCCACATGTGGTCGATTGGTGAGAGATCAGGGGAGCGAGCCGGCCAGGGGATGACATTCGCCTTGTTTTGTTGAAGAGAATCCTGAACAAGTCGAGCAATATGAGGCCGGGCGTTGTCATGTTGAAAGGTAATGCCTCGGGCATTGGTGATCTCGATGATCTCTTCGCGGTAGCGCTGTCCATTGAGATTTCCCTCTACCACTATCAAACGGGTCCTCTGTCTTGCTGTAATCCCACCCCATACCATAACGCTGCCGCCCCCAAACCGATCTTCTTCCATGACACAATGACGTCGGTACCATCGAATCCTTCCATCGCTGTGGCTGAGGTTGAAACGAGACTCGTCAGTCAATAGAACTTGTCCCCACTGCATGGCCGTCCAGCGTAGACACTGTCTGCACCACTGTAGACGTGCTTGACGGTGGTTGCCTGTCAAAATGGGACGTCTGGCGGTTCTTCTGGCGACAATCCCTGCACATCTGAGGCGACGACGTACGGTTTGTCAAGATATTCGTCGAAGGCCAGGGATGCTTCTTGTAGTCACTGTTGCTGGCTGGAATCGTAGGTGTGTTGTTCGAATCCAGTTGTCTTGTCGATTATTGGTTACGCGTGGCCTGCCACTCCGAGGATGGTCTCTGACTGCATTCGTCTGTTGCCAACGTTGCCATAAACACCAAATGGTGTTTCTGTGGACGTTAAATCGTCTTGCAACATCACGTTGACTCGATCCTGCTTCAAGCATACCAATGGCTCGCAGACGCTCATTTTCGGAAAGGAGTCGCATTTCGTAATGTTGAATAATTGCGTAATTTTGTTGTTTTTCTGAGTGGTTATTGTCAGCACGATGCTAAACAATGCATATGGATTCCTGTTAACGCACATTTTTTTATACCCATTCTTTGGCAGTGAAATACATGGGGTTTGCATAAAAGTCAACTTCTGCTTGGAATGCATGCTTTTCTGTAGCAGTTGCGTTTTTGTGACTTGATTCCATACATATACTACAATATTGAAAAACAAACTTTACTTTTTTGAAAAATACACTAAAATATTGGTGTCATAAGAACTTTTGTTGTTGAGTATATTATTATCATTATTATTATTATCTCAAAATAAAAGAAACTTCAAAGTATGAATATAAACTAACAAAGCAAAGGCGGATGTGGTTGAACGAAAATGGAACCATGTTGATTTGGCTTTTCCTGGATTGACACAAGTGTTGAACAATGCTACACTTATGAAATATACATACTGTGTTTTCACTGTAGAGCTAGGTTACCTGTAGATTTAACCGCGCTAATTTCACGCTGACTATAGGACTACATACATGTACCATGACTATATAAAACGCGAACTCTTTGGTGTTAGCAAATATATTGAGTGCAGTGGCATGGATTGAGTCCAGTGTTTTGAGTGGGTTGTCGATCTGAATTACGGAATCACCGACAACAGCCTGTAAACAAAATATGGCTCAAGCAGTTTGTTTACACCGTAATGCGTCACTCGAACATATGACAGGCATTGAAAGCATGTAAGCACGGCAACTTGGTAAGCGAGCATGAGGTGGGCACCCCTTTAGAAAACTAAGCAAGCTTTGCAAAGCTTTCGTTCGATACCATTATGACGTCATATCGCTCATTGTGACGCAAAAGATATGACGTCACAGTCGTATATTTTACAACATCTGATTGACCAATCAGAATCGAATAACTTTAAAATTCATGGTAGAATAGTATCTCAGCCCCGTGTCTTTTGACATCAAATGTATCAAATCTCGGAGTTTTAAACTTTTACTGACTGGACTGTTGATACATATGATATCTAAAGACACTTGGGTGGGGTTCTCTGTGTAAGGCTTTTCAGGTGGACGAGATGTCGGTCAAATAATCACGTTTTCTCGAGAATCAATTCTTATCTTTAAAACACCATGTCCAATGTTTATTAGACAAGTATATTTATATCTGTTAAGCGCGATAAAGAGTAAACAGAGTTGTGTGGTAATTCTGGAGAAATACATCCAAACTTCTCATTTCAGAATGGATCTCGACAACGCATCACGTGCGCATGTTCAGCAACTATTTGGTGAACCGGATACTGATTTTTACAATATGGAAGGTAGCCAGAATATAACGAATTACGTATAGCGACTGTTTATGATACTAGTCAATATAAGAACCTGCTTGCTGCGTACAAGTCGAACATACTGGTCCGTGGTCTAATGGTAGAGCGTCCGCCTGGAGGGCGAAAGGTCGGGGGTTCGATCCCGGCTGCGTCATACCAAAATTCATAAAAAGATGGTACTTGTTGTTACCCTGTCTGACGTCTCGGCATGAAGGGGCTTAAACAAAGACTGGTCGGATCTGAGTCAGTATACTGTGTCTGAGCGGGGAATTCATATTAAACTGCGGCAAGGCATCTCAGTGGGCGAGTGCTATCAAATCCGCATTAGGCCCTACTAGCACAAGCTGCAAACACACACGTTGTTATAGAAATGAAATAATCTTGTGCGCGACGTTAAACCCCATTTCATACCCCCATTTCGCGTCTGGGTAACAAATATTTACAAAAAAGTGCCTTCTGGAAGAACATGAACCAGTATTTAGATATGTGACCATATTTGGCTTAAGTAACTCATGTAATGCAGGAACGGGGAATTTATTACCAGTCTGAAATGTTTCACTAACATTTGACGAATCAGGACTAATTCCAATTTCAATAAAACATTTTATTATAATCATTGTACGATTCATAAGCATGTGTTAATGAATCACTATCAAATAGGGATGATACTAGGAGTTCGCCAAAAGGTGAGTGTGGAATTCGCTGGTGGAATTCGTTATAAACACACGCAAAGGCAAGTCAATTGTTCGCATAAAGAAACACGGGAACATATGGTAAAGTCAAAATAGGGCACTGCATAGGACATCATTTGTGTCAAATTTGGCAATGTCCTCCACATGATGTGTTTACTGTTTATTTGATACAGTACTTTTCTTTTTTTAGCTCATATCATTTTTGACAATGCATTCGGCAACCAAAGTAATGGCGAAGACAAATATTTGGTGAACACGTGGGTGAAGGATTTTGTCAGCTGCATCAATCAGGCAGTGAGGTAGGAGTGTACAGTCAGCTTTTGTTTTGTGAAGAAGGACTGTGCCGTGGACTGAAGGCCTTTTTAGTTCGTGGCATGTCACACAAGAAACAGATCAAATAGATGTATGCATGTGTCAGGTATATAGGTCTAATCTGACTAATAGGCATGCATGAGTCAGATATATAGTTCTAATCGGACTAATAGATGGATGCATGTGTCAGGATTGTAGTTCTTATCAGCCTACAGTAAACTACGGTTATAACGAACACGCTTATAACGAACTGACGGATATAACGAACTGCTCTTTTGGTCCCGACTATTTGTTGTAGTTATGCTGTATATATGCTTATAACGAACTACGGTTAAAACGAACTAAAATTAGTAGTCCCTTTGAGTTCGTTATAACCGTACTTTACTGTAATAGACGGATGCACGTGTCGGGATTATAGTCCTAATCTGACTAGTATGATTAAGGGCCAAGGACATCTGGGTATGACTACAGACAATGACCCGTCACAGAGATTTAGTTAGATGCTTAAGTAGTAAAAGTATAATTATCATAGTACTATGTTCAAAATTCACAGTTGAGAAATCCTGTTCATTGATGCGAATGAACAGTCATTGTCATATGTAGACTTTTTCCAGTCAAGTGTACCCATCTATGGCAAGCCTGAGTTCCCCTGTGATAATCCCAACCCCGTATGGAGGACGCATGGTGTTCACATTGCCCGGTGGAAACGAACTTATTGTCCACCTCAAGCACAAAGACAAGATTAGGATCAAGAAGAGATGGAGTCAGGTGATTAAATCTTATAAATACCAAAATACACTCAAGCACTCAAAGATTTTTAAAAAAATAAAAAAATAATAACACTCAAGCAATTGAATTCTGTACCAAACTGATCATGTGAAGTAATTCATGTGGATAAATATAACTGTATATCTGTACAGTGTAGACATTGGATGTCGTTATTTCCCAGTGATAATGTATGGATATTGCATACAGGTGATGTACATGTACTACCTGTTGTCACACAAGATGGTGTGTAAGCCAGGAATGTCAGGGAAAGTCTTGTCCAGAATGTCCCGCAACACATTCATCCTGACCCTGGACGGCGACGTGGACTTCCAGCCATCAGCAGTGCAGATGTTACTGGACAGGATGAAGAAGGATTCTCGCGTAGGAGCTGCCTGCGGTCGCATTCATCCTATTGGCTCAGGTCTGTCATGTTGGTGCATTACAATTTCATCACAGTATAGTTTATTTTACATTCGAGTGAGACAATGGGAAAAGATTGTTTTTTTCCTCAAATAAAGTGCTGTGAAAAAACAAGTGACAATTACATTTACCGTGAAGCACACATTGGACTTTTTTCGTACTGACTACAAAGCTGGTGAATCAAAAACGCTTGTGTGTAGCCCACTACTGATTCAAAGTTCTACACAGGTTTGCTCACAGATCAGCATATTTACAGGTCCGATGATATGGTACCAGAAGTTCGAGTATGCCATGAGTCACTGGTTGCAGAAGGCTGCGGAGCATGTGATTGGTTGTGTTCTCTGCAGTCCTGGATGCTTCAGCATGTTCCGGGCATCTGCTCTCATGGAGGACAATGTCCTTCGCAAATATGCAGAACTGTCCGCGGAACCAAGGCATCATGTGCAGCATGACCAAGGTATACGTGATACTAAGTAGCCAGTATTGTTGTTAGGGTTAGGCTAGGGTTTGGGTTAGGTATACGTCTTACTATAAGCTAGGATTGTTGTTAGGGTTAGGTTAGGGTTATGTATACGTCTTACTAAATAGCTAGTGTTGTTGTTAGGTATACGTCTTACTAAATAGCTAGTTTTGTTGTTAGGTATACGTCTTACTAAATAGTCAGTATTGTTGTTAGGGTTAGGGATAGGGTAAGGTATACGTCTAATTAAATAGCCAGTATTGTTTTTAGGGTTAGGGTAAGGGTTAGGTATACGTCTTACTAAATAGCTAGTATTGTTGTTAGGGTTAGGGATAGGGTAAGGGTTAGGTATACGTCTTACTAAATAGCCAGTATTGTTGTTAAGGTTAGGATTAGGTATACGTCTAATTAAATAGCCAGTATTGTTTTTAGGGTTAGGGTAAGGGTTAGGTATACGTCTTACTAAATAGCCAGTATTGTTGTTAAGGTTAGGGTTTGGTATACGTCTTACTAAATAGCCAGTAGTGTTGTTAGGGTTAGGGATAGGGTAAGGTATACGTCTAATTAAATAGCCAGTATTGTTTTTAGGGTTAGGGTAAGGGTTAGGTATACGTCTTACTAAATAGCTAGTATTGTTGTTAGGGTTAGGGATAGGGTAAGGGTTAGGTATACGTCTTACTAAATAGCCAGTATTGTTGTTAAGGTTAGGGTTAGGTATACGTCTTACTAAATAGCTAGTATTGTTGTTAGGGTTAGGGATAGGGTAAGGTATACGTCTAATTAAATAGCCAGTATTGTTTTTAGGGTTAGGGTAAGGGTAAGGTATACGTCTTACTAAATAGCTAGTATTGTTGTTAGGGTTAGGGATAGGGTAAGGTATACGTCTAATTAAATAGCCAGTATTGTTTTTAGGGTTAGGGTAAGGGTTAGGTATACGTCTTACTAAATAGCCATTATTGTTGTTAAGGTTAGGGTTAGGTATACGTCTTACTAAATAGCTAGTATTGTTGTTAGGGTTAGGGATAGGGTAAGGTATACGTCTAATTAAATAGCCAGTATTGTTTTTAGGGTTAGGGTAAGGGTAAGGTATACGTCTTACTAAATAGCTAGTATTGTTGTTAGGGTTAGGGATAGGGTAAGGTATACGTCTAATTAAATAGCCAGTATTGTTTTTAGGGTTAGGGTAAGGGTTAGGTATACGTCTAATTAAATAGCCAGTATTGTTGTTAAGGTTAGGGTTTGGTATACGTCTTACTAAATAGCCAGTAGTGTTGTTAGGGTTAGGGATAGGGTAAGGTATACGTCTAATTAAATAGCCAGTATTGTTGTTAGGGTTAGGGTTAGGTTTAGGTATACGTCTTACTATAAGCAATTTTTGTTGTTAGGGTTAGGTATACGTCTTACTAAATAACCAGTATGGTTGTTAGGGTTAGGGTTAGGTATACGTCTTACTGTAAGCTAGTATTGTTGTCGGAGAAAAAGTCCTGCTCAGGAAAAATCTGAAAAGTATTTTGCTCATAGTATCGACAAATCAGATGAATATTAAGAGGTCTTTCAAAACAGATTAGTCTTTTTTTCTAACCGTTGCCTTTCAATCTGACAATTATGTATACAGAGTTCAAGAGTATGTGGCGTATATAACATCAGATCTAGAGAATCACTGTTCATGATATAACACGTTTAGGGCTTTTGTATCGTTTTCATAACCTTTAGTGTACCTCGTATGATTTAAAGGTGAGGACCGCTGGCTGTGCACACTGATTCTACAACAAGGTTCCAGAATAGAATACGTTGCAGCAGCTGATGCAAAAACCTACGCGCCTGAAGGTTTCAGGGAATTCTACAATCAGCGACGCCGATGGACTCCTTCTACAATGGCTAATGTACTCGATGTTCTACAGTCAGCAGGTGAAGCAAGAAGGAAGAATAACGATATATCCTTTCTCTATATAATGTACCAAGGACTACTCTTCGTTTCATCCGTGTTGACCCCTGGAACAATATTTCTCATAATATTCAGTGCCATTAACACAGCCTATCCCGAACTGCCGCTGTATGCAGCCATGATACTCAACCTCGTCCCTGTGGTCATCTTCGTCGTCCTACTGTTTACAGCAAAGGACGACATTCAGGTAATTTGGTAAAAAAAATGTTTTTAGTGTGAAAGAAATTGTAACTAACTTATACTTTTATTGATGCATTTGTAGGATTTGAGGACATCATTTGTAGTATTTGAGAACAACATTCGTAGGATTCAATAATTGTCATTGTACCGTTCATATTTCAGATTGCATACGCTGGCATCCTCTCTATTGTGTACGCACTGGTGATGACAATCGTCCTGGTTGGACTCTTTAAGCAGGTAGTTGAGAGTAACTTCTGCTCAATGACTGCAGGATTTTTCTTGTTTGTGGTTGGAGTCTTCCTACTGTCAGCAATGCTCCATCCACAGGAGTTTATCACTGTTGTCTACGGTTTCTTCTACTTCCTAGCTATTCCGTGTATGTCCATGCTACTTATGTTCTACTCCTTTGGGAACCTCAATGTAGTGTCCTGGGGTACAAGGGAGACAGCAGGCAAGAGTGTTTCGGAGAATGTTGCCGATGTGCCACAACACAAGATGAAGAATAAATCAGCCCTGCATGGCATACTCAATAAAATGAAAGGTGACACACATTTGATATTAGTCATTTAATTGACACAATTTTCCATACATATGGAAGTGCTTATAACTTCGTTATTAAGGTCGCAGGAGGGATGAGACTTGTACATGTACTTGTTGATAAGTTGTACTGCATTGGGAATATGTTTGTCCAAAGCGGAAGTGAAGTCAGTTAACCGCAGAAGCTTATAATTTTGTTATTTAGGGTGGCACTTGCACAGAACCGAGTAGAAAACACTCAAATCTTTCTTATTAAGATAGTTGGAGGCATAGGATTTTCTGATTCAAAGTCATGCACTGTGTTTGTGTTTCCTAAATCCGAAAGTGGTTTCTAATTAATCATTCTTTCACTTTGGCAGGTTCTGCAGATGATTCCGACTCGGACTATGTGTTCTCCTTTGGAAACATGTTGCGGTGCATTTGTTGCCCACGGCCGGTGTTGAGAGACCAGACCGCAAAGATCGAGTTACTTATTGGGAAAATGGAGGACATGGAATATGCATTGAAGCACAAAGATGATGGTGATGATGCTTCTTATGATGGCAGGCCAACTGCGTCAAATGAGGAAGGCACGCCATTTTCACATGTGCCCATGATGTTCGATGGAGGAATGCGCAGTAAGTGTTTTATCTTACATACAAGCTCTGTATCACTTTACATAATATTGTCTACAGATGGACATAAGACTGCTGACAGTATTTTCCTTTCAAATGTATTATACATTAACTTCGTAATGAAGATTTTCAAAATGGTATCTGTTGCCTTTACTAAATGTTAACTTGTATAAAATGAAATCACAAATGGTTTATTAATGACAGTGTTTTCCACTTTCAAGGCAATCCCATGTTTGAAGCTGATCCTGAACTGATGCCAGCGGAAGATGATGAATTTGGTGACCCTCGATGGATCAGTGACAAAGCACTTGGTGAAACGTACATTGAAGAATTATCAGAAGAAGAGACTAATTTCTGGAATGAATTGATCACACAACACCTCAAACCTCTACATTTGTCGGACAAACAAAAAGATGAGGTTGCCCAGGGACTAACGCATTTGCGCAACACAGTGTGCACATTCTTCTTCCTTTCCAATGTTTTGTTTGTCACGATGATGTTTATCTTGGAGAGTGTGTCAGAGTATACTCCGAGCCTTGTCTTTAAACTACCATGTGACACCGGGGATCATGGAGCAACACGGGAGCCTGTTGCCATTGCCTTTACTCTCATCTTTGGCATTTTGCTGTTTATTCAGTTCATCTGTATGTTATTCCATCGCTGGTCTACTCTTCTCGCTATAGCCTCAATAACAGAATTTCACTTCAAGTCTGAGAAAACTATGGCACATGAGAGAGAAAATACCATGTCCGCTGTTGAAGAGATGTATGTGAGAAACAGTCTAAAGGAAGATGATAACAGGAGTGTACTGTCAGAATATTCCGATGTCACTACTCGTGGGGAAACAATTAGCAGGCGCCACAGAGATAATTTGATGGCACGCTTCCTACGGGATGCTTCACAGAAGAGGCAAGAACAACCGAATAGCCTGAATGCAATATTCACCGCCCATATGAAGAAGATATCAGAAAATGAGGAAGTAATTAAAGACGGTGTTGATGAAACAAAGGGAGCTGTATCGGAAAGTGTCAAACGAATATTCCCATCAGTGTCCAATCAGTCATTGTTTACCATAGCAAATATGGTAAAGAACGACAAACAGAAAGAAAGAATAAAGACAATGGCAACGAAGAACTGGGAAAATGCTTTTAAACGAATAAAAACTCCTAAACTTTTGGATATTGTGAATCAAGCCAAGCGACAAGACGAAACAGAACCCAAGGTGAGGTTTGCTCAAGAACAATCCAAGGGAAATGATAGGGCCTCAATTGTTGAAGAAATAGCAAGGCCACTGAAAGTAAGTCCAAGCGAGGATGACAAAGCTCCTCGAGCCTCGGGGTGGCAGACTCTGAAGACAAGTCGTCTACTGAGGAAACCTGAAAAACCTGAGGAAATGCAAGTCTTGGGCAAAGAGACAGGGGAGGGAGAATCCTTTCTCACTGACTCCAGCACTGACCGGATTGGTTTTAGGGACTCTCATATTGCTGCTGCGAATGAGAAAACGGATCTATAACCTTCAGTCAGTACTACAGATATTGTTGCATTCCACATTTTGACAGTACCTTTATGCGGACGCCTAATACTTCATTTCGCTTGGCATAAAGAGGACAAGTTAATATTATGCATTAGTTCCACTTTTCGTTTTCACTCTTATGGCAAAATAATGTTTTTCATGGGCAGTGCCCTTTACGATTTATGTCTAATGTGAAATGCTCAACATGTTCCATACAACCAAGAGGTAGTCGGGTAGCAGTGTGATTAAAGCGTTTGCTCATCACGCCGAAGACCCGGGTTCGTTCCCCGACATGGGTACAATATGTGAAGCCCATTGCTGGTGTCCCCCGCCGTGATATTGCTGGAATATTGCTAAAAGCGGCGTAAAATCATACTCGCTCACTCGCCATTCAACCATGAATTTGAAAAGTGCAATTCTAATTGATCGATCTCCTGTTTCAAATTCTTCTGATAAAAGCAGCCAATTCCTGCTGAGTAGGAGGAACTTCCCAGGAAGACTGCACTGTATCTTTGTGTTTTAGCAGAACCATTTCATTCTGTCAAAGGATGTCATACCTTTTATCATTTAGAAATTTAAGTTTAATTCGTTTTTAATAGAATATTGTTGTTTATGTTCAATAATAGTCTACTATGTCTTTGCCTACCTTTTAACCATCCATTAGTCAGATTTAGTATTTTTTAATCGGCGCCTGTTTAACTGGCTTACATTATAATTACATCTGCATGTCAACTTTGTGAAACAATCAAACTTCAGGTGGAAAGATTGAGTTGGAAACAACGAGCACAACTGTGTATGTGTGATTTAGCACAGATACTCTGCTTATTGTCAATTTGTATAAAAGTGTATTAAATACTCCGTGAGGTCCAAGTTGTCCATCATTTCCCAAAATATCTAACGCACGCACACACGCACGCAAATTGCACAAAACATTACACTGACATTATGAACTGGTGTCTGTGGTAATAACCCAACTATTGTTCATACTTTACGGCAGTGTATGGAAAAGGTTAACATGACATGTTCCACACTGAGAACACACAATGTAGCATTTTAAGCACGTGTGTCATTCCAGGAAAAGACAACTCAACATGGTTCCAAAACAGGCAAAGCAAAAAAGCACACTGAAGCACCTTGAAGCACATCCGCATTTGCTTTGTTAATTTATATTGTGTATTGCCCACATAACATACAACACAGAGGTACGAACACAAGACGTTTACTTGAAAAGGACAATAACGAGACTAATCACAATCGAAATCGGATCACGTGCAGCCACACACTACTGTTGGGGACCGTTGCGTTCAGGTGAAGCGGTCCATCACCGGGAACAACCTCACAATTGATACTTTGAAGTTTCAATTTTTTTTTAGATCAAACCATACATTTAAGCAAAATCTATTCAGGAATGATTCGGTAACCAAATTTCTTAAATCACAATCAATTTCGCACATAATACTGATTGATAGGGGGACGAGAGTTGTTGCAGGTTACAGAGAGGGACGAGTGGTGACGAACGTGTAGAAAGTTATGGGTCTCTCGGGATTATAGTTTGGGAGGCACTGCACACGAGAAAGGTACCAAGCGAAAACACCGTTTCCCCATGGCATGGTAGTCCCATTGGCATCTTATACGAGTTTATTAACATGTAAGCACTGGATAAAGGATTTCATGTTATGATGTTACTTTTCTCAGTAACTGAGAAATACATCAATATTGTTTTCACACTTCTCACAAAGAACCCAGCGTACAGATTCAGGGTTAAAGATCCAGAAATATACTAAAATATATTTTAGAAATCCCACGCTGGGAAAATATATCATGAGTAAGTCTTATTTCTGCTGGTGGTCCGTCACCGTTACATACAGCACGTCTGACTTCTGCTACTGGTCCGTCACCGTGACAAACAGCACGTCTAACTTTTGTGGCCATGGCAACACCATTACATACAGCACGTCTGACTTCTACTAATGGTCCGTCACCGTTACGTAGATCATGGGAAACTCATGTATGGTGATGGGAAACCGTGTGTGGTGATGTAAAACCCAAGTATATTGATGGGAAATCCGTGCATAGTGATCGGAAACCCGTGTATGGGGATGGGAAACCCGTGTATGGTGATGGAAAACCCGTGGATGGTGATGGGAAACCCGTGTATAGTGATGGGAAACCCGTGTATGGTGATGGTAAACCCGTGTATAGTGATGGGAAACCCGTGTATGGTGATGGGAAACCCGTGTATAGTGATGGGAAACCCGTGTATGGTGATGGGAAACCCGTGTATAGTGATGGGAAACCCATGTATGGTGATGGGAAACCCGTGTGTGGTGATGTAAAACCCAAGTATATGGATGGGGACACCCGTGTATAGTGATGGGAAACCCGTGTATGGTGATGGGAAACCCGTGTATAGTGATGGGAAACCCGTGTATGGTGATGCGAAACCCGTGTATGGTGATGGGAACACCCGTGAATAGTGATGGGAAACCCGTGTATGGTGATGGAAAACCCGTGTATGGTAATGGGAAACCCGTGTATAGTGATGGGAAACCCGTGTATGGTGATGGGAAACCCATGCATAGTGATGAGAAACCCGTGTATGGTGATGAGAAACCCGTGTATGGTGATGGGAAACCCGTGCATAGTGATGGGAAACCCGTGTATGGTGATGGGAAACCCGTGTATAGTGATGGGAAACCCGTGTATGGTGATGCGAAACCCGTGTATGGTGATGGGAACACCTGTGAATAGTGATGGGAAACCCGTGTATGGTGATGGAAAACCCGTGTATGGTAATGGGAAACCCGTGTATAGTGATGGGAAACCCGTGTATGGTGATGGGAAACCCATGCATAGTGATGAGAAACCCGTGTATGGTGATGAGAAACCCGTGTATGGTGATGGGAAACCCGTGCATAGTGATGGGAAACCCATGTATGGTGATGGGAAACCCGTGTATGGTGATGGGAAACCCATGTATTGTGATGGGAAATCCATGTATGGTGATTGGAAACCCGTGTATGGTGATGGGAAACCAGTGTTAGTGATTGGAACACCCGTGTAAGGTGATGGGAAACCAATGTACGGTGATCGGAAAACCCGTGTATAGTGATGGGAAACCCGTGTATGGTGATGGGAAACCCATGTATTGTGATGGGAACACCCGTCTTTAGTGATGGGAAACACATGTATGTTGATTGGAAACCAGTGTTAGTGATGGGAAACCCATGTATGGTGATGGGAAACCCATGTATAGTTATGGGAAACCCGTGTACGGTGATGGGAAACCCGTGTATGGTGATGGGAAACCCGTGTATAGTGATGGTAAACCCGTGCATGGTGATGGGAAACCCGTGTGTGGTGATGGGAAACCCATGTATTGTGATGGGAAACCCATGTATGGTGATGGGAAACCCGTGTATAGTGATGGGAAACCCGTATAAGGTGATGGGAAACCAGTGTTAGTGATGGGAACACCCGTGTATGGTGATGGGAAACCCATGTATGGTGATGGGGAACCCATGTATTGTGATGGGAACACCCGTCTTTAGTGATGAGAAACACGTGTATGGTGATTGAAACCAGTGTATAGTGATGGGAAACCCGTGTATGGTGATGGGAAACCAATGTATTGTGATGGGAAACCCGTGTATAGTGATGGGAAACCAGTGTTAGTGATGGGAACACCCGTGTATGGTGATGGGAAACCCATGTATGGTGATGGGAAACCCGTGTATAGTGATGGGAAACCCATGTATGGTGATGGGAAACCCATGCATAGTGATGGGAAACCCATGTATGGTGATGGGAAACCAGTGTTAGTGATGGGGACACCCGTGTAAGGTGATGGGAAACCCATGTATGTTGATTGGAAACCCGTGTATAGTGATGGGAACCCGTGTATGGTGATGGGAAACCCATGTATTGTGATGGGAACACCCGTGTATAGTGATGGGAACACCCGTGTATAGTGATGGGAAAACCCGTGTACGGTGATTGGAAACCCTTACTTTTTTTGCGTGTTAATTTTCCTGAAATCTTGCACTGTCCGATTTTTGGATGTTAACGCGGTATGTCTGATTGAAACATTATTCGATCGAAAAAATGCACAAAAGGTGATAATTACTTATGAAAAGTACTGTACGTGATTGAACTTTGTGTATGAACTATGTCGGTTGCACTTGCACTCCCTGATAACTGCCATATATCCCACCTCATTCAGATGGTATGTATTAGTGTCGCCATGATCAACGACCGTGGGTATAGGTCAGGGACAGATATGCTGGTTTTCAGTGGCAGTCAAGATAATGTCACAAGGTGCGGATGTGTGTCTCTTGAGGACGCCCACCACACACACACACACACACACACACACACACACACACACTCTCTCTCTCTCTCTCTCTCTCTCTCTCAACAACAAAAACACACACACACATGTATATACATACACACACACACACACACACACACACACACACACACACACACACACACACACTCTCTCTCTCTCTCTCTCTCTCTCTCTCTCAACAACAAAAACACACACACACATGTACACACACACACACACACACACACACACACACACACACACACACACACATACACACACACACACACACACACATACATACATACATACATACATACATACATACACTCACCCACACACGCGCGCGCACACACACACACACACTCACACACATACACATACACATACACATACGCATACACAGAAAACGAGAAAGTGTGAAACATGTTTATTCACTTGCATTCTAGGGTATATTACAATACTGTTATATATTACATTACAGATGTACAGGTTTATGCGGTCATTTACACATACACACATTCCAGCTGTTGTCTTTGCACGGCATTTCATAGGCCATGTCTTGCTTACAGCTCAATCACATTTCAGAGAGATTGAATTTCGGCTTGGGCGCTATTCCAGGTATTGCAAAATTAGATTGTATCGGAATGAACGCTTCTCGTAGTTAATCATGCCCCAAGACATGCGCCTGCTGTGAAACTGAGGGTGGCTAGACCTCCTGCTCCGAGAGTACAGGTCACAGGGGAGGATTTACCATCAACGTTGAACCAGAAGGAGACATTTTCGTTGGCAGCTCCAGTGAGGCTGATGGTGATGTCATCGGCAATGTTGATGCCCGTCACTCTCTGGGGTGACATGGGCACCCACTTGTCTAACTCACCCTGGATGAGAACTTGTTTGCTGCAGGAAAATATGTTCGAAAATTTTATGAAATATATTCAGTTATAGCTGTTCTAGGCGTCGTAGGCTTCGTCATTGTCCACGTATGTTAGTTTCAGTCTTTAGTACCTTCGTGTCACATGGATTTTCAATAGAGTAATAACTTCATTGCATCAGGTCATCCAATCTTATCAAGACATCAAGTTTCTACGATTATCACGGGGCGGTCGGGTAGGCTAGTGGTTAAAGCGTTAGCTCGTCATGCCGAAGACCCGGGTTCGATTCCCGACATGGGTACAATGTGTGAAGCCCATTTCTGGTGTCCCCCGCCGTGATATTGCTGGAATATTGCTAAAAGCGGCGTAAAACCATACTCACTCACTCACTCACTCACTACGATTATCACGAGCATGATCAAAGGTCAGCCCTTCAGACGATATTATAGCTATTGTGAATTTGGTTCCAGCACAGCAGTTTGGTTCTTTATCACCTGGAATCTCTCATATTATCATCAATGCACTTACTCTAATCACCACCTCGGCATGTTACTCATGTTATATCCTGAGACGCTGGTTATATTCCTTTAGTCACTACTGCTGTCGTTTCAGTATTGACATATATCTCTACATGACTGAAATGAAGTAATACACATACCCATTAACGGTCAACACAGGCGATACATAGAAGAGACAGAAGTCAGTAATGGTACAACCACTCAATGACAAAGGCTCTGAGTCAGTCAAGGGCTGGATCTTGTCGGGGTTATTGGCTGGGAAGACCATCGAGCTTGGAAACTGGAAATAGCACAGGAAACATTCGTTCAAGTTGTATTGCCGAAAGTACATGTACGACTTGTACGTGTACCTAAACCTGAATATACAGATATCAATAGACATATATATATGACAGATATCAATTTTTAACCCCTGATTTTCTGCAGCGTACATCATCGTGTGTTCAGTACCAGATGGTACACAACCCCAAGCGAGACATGATAGGATCTAGATAGTAACATGTTACCCCTTGATATCCAGCCATGCAAGGCGTCATGTTGAAGCTTGCCCGCAGATCAGCAGCCAGGACGATACCATACTTGTTCTTTCCGCCAAAGTCTGAATACGTGGACCACACCTCCCCATCAGGACCTTCAAAATCTGACCAAGCCATCTGGAAAATAAACGTGGGCAATGTTACATACACACTGCAGACTAGACTCCACAGTCTGGTGCAAATGTCCAGTCAAGTTCTTTATAAACAATCACGTTTGAAATATAGACATTTTGCATATGTAAGCATTATATTTGAATTCTTAACTGTCAGACGGGTGAACATAGCAAAATTTGACCAGTTACCATATAAGCGATTTTTGATAATGTCATCCATATCTCCATTTAAGTCTCTCATTGGTTCTCCGAATTGTGTGTTGCATGAGAAGGTAATTTGTAACGGGTGATTGTATTATAATACCCAGATAAGGATCAGCAATAAAATGTCAATGACATTACTGTACGATTGTAATTTTGAAGATTGTTGTCAATCCAGCCCCTGCAGAATGGAATAATAAGTATGCAGTCATAACTATATTCAGAGTACCTGATGACACCTTATGATAAAAACCAAGTTTTATAATGTGCATGGACTGCATTCACAGCCAAAGGTCAGTATTCGAGTAAAGCAAGGAACACAGGTACCCTCCGTAACATGTTGTCAATGGCAGCCGCTGGTCGCGATGGTTTCAAGATCAGACCGTCAGCATTTACAGATCTATAGAAAAGATGAAGTGACAGTGAAGAAAGGTGTGATTACTAGGTTTCTATGACAACGGGAATAATGAAAAAGTACATTAAATAGTCATGTTGGATATGATTAAACATGGAGGAAAAGTTTGGAATAAATCAAAATTATATGTCGTGAAATACGCATTTAATTTGGAAATGGCCGACCTACTTCATGATGAGTGTCCTGTTCATGCCCCCGACCATGTCACTAATTCCTACTGGGCCTGTACTCAAGGTTGCAACCACGGCGTTCAGGGACGTGTGCGGTTCCGTAGCATCTGAAACATATTCGGCAATGACCATAAATTGTATCCCTTTCTGAATATAATCATGATATGATAAAATATTTTGACATTTTCAAAACATGAAATGACATTGTTAAGATTAAATTTCACAAATAGTAATGTTCATTTTCTACACACTGTATGCATTTCCGGGTTGAACGCTGGTTGTCCAAAAGTTGTCCTTGAAAGGTGCGATGCCTATTGCCCAGGCCAACAGTGACGTCACGCCTATCCTCCAGTTGGTCGAGCCTGGATGGTAATCAAAGCTTGCACGCGCCTGGAACAAACGTTTCACAACAATGCACAACTTGCACAAGCCTATCTAAGGTGTGTTTCACGGGTCATTGCGATACAGTCTCATGGTTATAGTGTTCGTTCGTGTTCGAGTCCTGCCACTTGTATCCCTGAACTTTATTAGAATCGGCGTCAACCATAATCTCTCTCACCTGTGTGACGACAGGTATTTCCAGGGACTGCAGCATATGTCGCGGGTAGGACATGCAGTACTGGATGGTCAATCCGTTCTTGGCAGCTCCGTTCCCCATCTGAGTCAGCCATTGGCTGCCTAGGTCAATGTCAGTCAGGAATTTGTTTATTTGTGTAAATTCATCATCGAGGAAATCCTACAGAAATGAAAAAAACAAAGAAACCTGAACTTTACCATCATCCCGAGGTTTGACATTTTATCAATGTTAGAAAGAATATGTTCATTTATAATTAGCAGTTGAATATGTTTATTTCAAAGATATAAAGGCCTCTAGCCTATAGTACAAACTATGTTTGTGAAATGTAAAATATGAGTACAATGTGACTAAATTAAGCAATGTTAAGTTATGTTTGGAATTTGTCAGTAGGCGCTATTACCTGTTCGTAGACAAACAGACCCCATTTCCTTGCATCAGAGAGCAAATCTGTCCAGAATCTCTGAATAGGAATGAGATACATGACTCGAAGTGTAATAATAACGGTGACATAATTTCAGATAATTTCCCATAGAAAATAGTTGAGTTAAGAAATATCGTTCTCCAACTAAAATGTACACATATGTTGTGTCAGTACCTCTTCCAGCGGTACTGCCTTGTGTCCATCCATCAGGAATTCATATTTCCCCCCATTAGCAGTTGCATACGTAGTATTGCTTGACCTAGATGTGCAGAAACCAGGAATCGCTTCATAATCGCACATTGACACAAATAAAATCCCTTTATTAATGTCATGTGAACATGTCAAAACATTTTACATGTTATTTAATGTTAGTATATAGGATTATGCTGCACATCTTCAGATGTGTTGATTGATTGACTTACATATTACCTAGAAGCAAGTATCAAACGTATCTTGGATTAGTGCTGATATTAACGTCGTAGCATTGTGAGAAATGTTAATAATTTTCGTAAGCGTTTCTAAAATGGCAAAATAATTCGATATTTCGGAATTCAAAGAAATAATTGATCTGGCTTACCAGAACATGCTGTGGGCCACGACGGGAAATTCCGTCTTGTTGTAAAGCCACCTTTATCACAGGATGAAGTAGAGTGGAACATTATTAGTTTCACCCACCAAACTCGAAATTACATTCGGGAAATTGTAACTTGATGGTCTGAGATAATACATGTCGTCACTGCAGCTAATATATGCACTCCACTTAACAAATAGCATCTCTATACCTGTAAATATTTTCGACAACCATCAAGGTTTCATTTCAAGTATATGAGGGGTAGCAAATTGATTGATAGCGATATGTAATAATTATAATTATTACAAAAATGGGAACTAAATAGATTGAGACAGTATTCACGTAAAAGTAAAACATCTCACTGCATTCCATTGGGGAAGACGCTTGGTTGAGCTGACCACGTCACGATGCCATGGTCGTTGTCCCAGTAGTACCACCACGCGTCGTAATTATGTACCTGGCGAGTAAACAACAAAGTCCTTGTCCCAGTAATTATGTACCTGGCGAGTAAACAACAAAGTCCTTGTCCCAGTAATTATGTATCTGGCGAGTAAACAACGAAGTCATTGTCCCAGTAATTATGTACCTGGCGAGTAAACAACAAAGTCCTTGTCCCAGTAATTATGTACCTGGCGAGTAAACAACAAAGTCCTTGTCCCAGTAATTATGTACCTGGCGAGTAAACATCAAAGTCATTGTCCCAGTAATTATGTACCTGGCGAGTAAACAACAAAGTCATTGTCCCAGTTATACCACCAGACGCCATACTGAATTTACCTGGCGAGTAAACAACAAAGTCATTGTCCCAGTTATTATGTACCTGGCGAGTAAACAACAAAATCGTTGTCCCAGTAGTACCACCACGCGTCGTACTGAATGTACCTGGCGAGTAAACAACGAGGTCATTGTCCTAGTAATACCACCATCCGTCGTACTGAATATACCTGGCGAGTAAACAACGAGGTCACTGTCCCAGTTATTCTACCACTCGTCGTACAGATTGTACCTGGCGAGTAAACAACGAGGTCACTGTCCTAGTAATACCACCGCTCCTCGTACTGAATATACCTGGCGAGTAAACAACGAGGTCACTGTCCCAGTTATTCTACCACTCGTCGTACAGATTGTACCTGGCGAGTAAACAACGAGGTCACTGTCCCAGTAAAACCACCACCCGTCGTACTGATTATGCCTGGCGAGTAAACAACGAGGTCACTGTACTAGTAGTACAACCACGCGTCGTACTGAATGTATCTGGCGAGTACACGATATCTCTGTCCTAGTAAATACCACCACTCGTCGTACTGAATATACCTGGCGAGTAAACAGCGAGGTCACTGTCCCGGTAGTACCACCAGTCGTCGTACTGTATGTACTGGAGTATTTATGGTTTAACATGAGTACTGACCTGACGGGTACCCCAACCTGTCCGATGTAGCTCTTGATGTCAAGCACCGTGTCCTGGTAGTTCTTTCCCTTCTCCTTCACATTGTAGTAATACGCCCCTGAACAAATGAAACCGCGTATATTTCCAAAGACATTCAGACTGAAAGATGCTAACGATGTCACGTTCTAATGTCAGGACCAAAGGTTTTGTATTCTCATTACCTTATCTTCCACCTGGATCCTGTTCGCTGCTAGGTGGACTCAAACAATATCGAACAAAGCCACTTGCCTTTTGAGTGAGTGAGTGAGTTGGGTTTAACGCCGCTTTTAACAGTATTCCAGTTATATCGCGGCGTGTCAGCTTAATGTGGGAGGAAAGCCCGAAGTGATGCAGATCTCAGACGTTTACCACTTCGGTGAAACCCACGAGCACAGGTATGGTGCTGACAAACCTAGAAACATAATCGGGGCGAACCGGGATTCGAACCCATAATCAAAGGTTTCTGGCGTGCCTAAGGGACGCAACTCTGCACAGCGAATCGCGGCGCCTTAGACGACTGGGCCACCCGTGCCCCCCTTGCCATTTGAAACACTTCATACATTGTACATGTGTTTCTGTGTTGCGCAGGTCTACAACTCTAGAAACTCTCAGGAATGCAACTTGCACGCGCCTGTACAACTATGTGAATAACGTAAACATGAATGTAAACTCAGGGTCCGTGCATCAGACCTAAATCAGCTCAAGAGTTATTGTGAGTGGCAGCATTGTGCTTGTGATGTTTTAAACCACCGGTTGGCGCAATAATTATGACGCTGGTGGTAGGAAACACATCAGCATGAATACGGTAGTGCCAGAAGAAGGATCATGATAGATTATCTGGTTCTGGAAACTAAGGAACCCAACTCTGCACGTCCGGCAACAGAGAGCCATGGTTATCATTGAAGACAGAAAGTCAAAGATAAGACCTCTTTCAAAATATTCTCACCATTGTCTGTCCAGTATCCTAAGTAGTTGATCGTAAAGTCGGACTTGACAAACTGGTCTGTTCGCCCATGCCATTTTTGCAAAATGTGACCCCAGCTCACGAAAGCCTGCAAAACATATTCGCAATTAATTCTTATGATACAAAGAATGCAAAAGAAAATTTGCTTAAAATAATGAATGTTAATATATTTCTTGAAGCTTGCAAAACAAGCATGAGATATTGATGGCACTTAATGCTGTTTTTTAAGGTTAAGGACGAATATGCACCTTGTTAATGCCTTGGTTACCACAGAACAGAATAAAACTGGTTTCTACACCAAGTGGGATGTCTTCCACAGCGCCCATCGTGCCCAAATAGACATTGTCCCCACCGGTGCTGGCGTTCTGACGCCATTGTGATGAGGACATGAACCGGCTTGCAGGGGAGATAATCAACGTATTTGCAGTCTTCTCTCGATCAAAAATGGCCAAAGGCCCGCTTTCGATCCCGTCATCTATTTTGAATGATGATGGCCCCCATCTGTAGATAGATAGATAGATAGATGATACGACGATGCCATGGATCAACAGCGAACCTGACCACCCGATCCCGTTAGTCGCCTCTTACAAAAAGCATGGTCGTTTCTGGCGACAAGTGTGGGTTGTTGAAGACCAATTTTGACCCGGATGTTAGGGGTGTAATTAATTTGCAATTTGGTCCGTTCAACACGCAAAAAAACAAAAATATATATATATATATGTTTCGCATATGCTTACTGTCCAGCCTTTAGACCCTCACTACCAAACATTAGCCCAGCGTAACCAAGGTAGCCCAAAGGAAAGGCCGTCTCTTGAATTTGAAATCCAGGAAAGCCAGAAATGGTGTAGTCGCTGCTGTTGGAGGCGGTGTTGTTTGCTCCATTGATGTAGCGCTGTTGACATCATTGATGAAAGGAAACATGAAGACAACGTGTCCTTGAAGTATTCACCCCTCGGAACAAGTGTTGTAAGGAAGTACCATAACAATATTAAACAAATTGAAAGTAGAGTATCAGTCCATAACTGTATAACTATATTCAGCTTTAACCACCCTTACCTCCGCCAAGGGGCGGTGAGGTAGCCTAGTGTTAAAGCATTCACTCGTCACGCCAGGGACCCTTGATCGATTCCCACATGGGAACAATGTGTGAAGCCAATTTCTGATATCCCGCACTGATATTGCTGGCATATTGCTTAAAGTAGCGTAAAACCATACACACTTACCCACACACTTACCTTGGCCAAAGTGAAACGTGAGTCAAGGAACAATAATGCATTGAAAAAATACCAACATGTTATTCTCAGCTTGTGATGAAAATATCAAGTTAGGAACTTAAAATGCCTTTAAGCCTGTCTGGCCGGGTGGGTTTGTTTTCACAGAAAAATATTAATATTCACAGAAGCAAATGATGTATGTAAATATCAAAGTCAGGAACAATGCTGTTTGTTTCGCGACAGAATTGGAAAAGCTACACCAGCGTTACATCCGTTTCCGTATGCAATTTAGAAAGTAATTTTTGACTCCTAAGCTGTGTGTAATCACCTGTTTGAACAGCATGAAAGGTATGGCCGGGTTGTTGTAGGTGAATATGCTTGGATCTGGTGTGTACTGTACAAAGCTGGCCTCGATCTGACTGGACCCTGCCTGGTACAGGAAGCTGTTGGCCTCCCACTGCCCTACGACGTCCACACCACTGGACTGAGTGTTCTTGACCAGCTTCAGAGATCCATCGGCAGAGGAGAACACTTGGCCATCGGCTCTGAAGAAGGTGGGGGCGCTCTTCAGCCACACATCTCTCTGGACAACGACGTTGTATGTGCCGTCATCGTTGACGTTCACAACAAAGTCCTGCTTTTCCTCTGAGACTGCTCAAACGTATTCATTATTAAAACAACAGTTTCCTCAGTAATAAGTAATATGTAAGTAAATACATACAGCATCACCTTATTCACTAAAAGAACTGTTGGCTTGTCAGTAAAAAATGCATAGATTATATCAAAATCACAGAATATGTAACTAAAATCAAAGAAGTTTTTTTTGAAATTTAACACATTGCACATTTATATATAATATCGACTGATGAAAATAATATATTATTGAGAAACATACATGTATATTTCTTCAAATGATGTCTGAGTGGAATGAAATCTTTCTGCGTGTATATTAATCCACTAACAAGGCGTGATCTTCTGTTTTCAAAGTAAATTAACCCTTTCGCTGTTGCCGTCCATTGTTTATGTAGAATGCATACTTACTGACACAGAGCGACAGAGACAGAAATAGGTAGATACAGGCCCTGGGGCACATCTTCAAACGGTGTCGACTCGCAATCCTATGATACGACTTACGCACCTCTTGATGGGATGCATACAATGTTATTCACTATCTGAAATGATAACAAGTTGAGTCAAGGCTGGTGTAGGTACGTATAACCTTTGTATTACTGATGCGTATAAAACTCCTGTAAGTCAGTGAATCGTCCAGGTTAACATATATCGATACGAATGAACAAGAATAAACCAAATGTCAATGTATTCATAAGTTGATAAGGATGTCATATGGTAAAGAGAGGTTCCAAGTACCCCTGCATGTAGTAAGAGGATAATAGATCGAGTCACCAGGCTCGATGACCTAGAAGATTTCGTGTTATTGCTTTGTCTGGGCAGCCCCCCCGCCTCCGTGGTCTTGTGGTAGAGCGTCCGCCCGGAGAGCGGAAGGTCCAGGTTCGATCCCGGGCCGCGTCATACAAAAAGACGTTAAAAGATTGTACTTGTTGTTACCCTGTCTGGCGCTCGGCATTAAGGGGCTAAAACAAGGACTGGTCGGCTCGGAGTCAGTATACTGTGTCTGAGTGGGGTATTCATGTTAAACTGCGGCATGGTATCTCAGTGAGCTAGCACTATAAATCGGCATCAGTCCGGACTAGTACAAGCAGCCACACACACACATACACGTGCATGCACGTCGCTATATAAGTGCAATAATCTTGGACGCGACGTTAAACCCAATTTCACCTCACCGGGGCAGGCCCCCACCATGCTGCTTGGCTATTGTCGACTGATATGTTAATAAACAAAACAAAACCCGACAACATTTTTCTGCTAGGGGACATTTGAGAAGATATGCTTATGTACTGATTTAATTATTTCTTCAACTTATCATATGAACATGGAATTTTGCTGACTGCCATGCGGTGTGACACATAAGCTATGCTTGAGGGTCTAACGTGAAAGAGGAATAAACGCTGCTCTCCGGGCAGACGCTCTATACACTGGACCAGGGGTCGATGCCCGGATCTCAGTAGCTGACCACTATGGTTTAACCCACCATGGCTGTGAGTGAGTGAGTGAGCGAGTATAGTTTGCAATATTCTAGCAATATCACGGAGGGGAAAGCAGAAATAGGCTTCAAACATTGCATGGTTGTGTTTGGGATGCACTGGATTAGGACTTTGTATTTGTATATCATTAATGGATTCTTAATCACATGCAATGTACATCCCCTTGAACAAAATAGACAGAGGTATTGATAACGATCTTGCAATCGTTACACAGCAACGAGGATGAACGATATACTCGTTACTGGTATGTATGTCTGGTGGGACACGGCAATTATCAGGTAAGGTTAGATAAAAGATACAAATGACATTGTCCATATACCAGGGCCCTGTTCTACTATACTCATTTGAATCACGTAAGTGAACGATATTACTAGCACTACTGTCGTTGCGGAACTACACATATCCGTTTGAATGAGTTTCTTTTGAAAACCCAGGTATTTCACAGATAATCTTTTGTTAACGTATTCAGATAAATTCAGAAAGGAACACACACACACAACACACATGAAGATCCAGGTGACAATTTGTCTTGAGCATCTTGAATGGAATCGGGATATTAGGCTTGGTGACTTGGTTGATGCATCTCATCGTATCCAAATTGAGTATCATTTTCAAACCAATGCTCAATCACTGGATTGTATGGGCCAAACTCAATACATACCACCGTCAGATAATTTGAAGATTGCTTATCGCATCTGTAGCATGAACTGATAGTGGTATGATAGTTCTCAGGATAAGTTGGACTACATGACATAAAAGAACAGAGACAACATCTGAAGTTAAGTATAAATTACAGTAGCTGTATTTTTATAAACCTTCTAAAATGGTAATACAATTGTCATGGTAGAATTATGATGAGCATACTGTGTTCTGAGTTAGAGGGAGTGTGATTGGTACGTACCAGTTCTAGATTAAAATGTTCAATTTAGAGCTCGTGTAACGAATTTAGTTGGACTTCCTTTATAGCTCTGTGGAAGCAGTTCGTGATGCGGCCACGTATTCCAATCACAAGTCGTCTCGACTGTTAAGTGCAGTCAAACTGTGAATAATTAACACCAGCTTCAGAAATAACAAATAACGCTTTGTTTATTCACTCTATTAATCATCAAAGAACAACTGACAAATCAAAACATGTTCAAACATCTGCACATGTAGAGTTTTTCCCTACCGGTACCCAATAATCGAACTGATGTCATGACATTTACCTATTCCCGGAAATAAGTGTTAAGGTTACATGCAACTGGGGATTTGATAAGATGCAGCAGAAACACTCCTGACAGTTTGTGCCAGATTATCGTGATTGTATGACCGAGAGCTGGTAGCAATGGATAGCTGATTACTGGCACATTGCAAAATGGAGTCGAGGCGATTTTTATCTGACGAGGTGTTGTACGAATTTATAGACTGTAGATATTTGTGACGAGTCACTGTGACGATTTACTCCTATACAGAAGGGTCACTGTGGTGGCTTTTACATTGTGATTGGTATAAATTGTGCTAAAATGCGTTTCTATGCATAATCTTTTGTGAACATAGTTAGTGAAGCTTATTTACTTAGTGAATTTCACACTTACCTGTAAGGAGATATTACTAACCAGTTAATAAATATTTGCTGATTAGACTAGTATAGGTGGCCTATCGTAGGCTAGTACAATTTACTGATCAGTTAATAGTGACTACTATCCGTCTTTCAAAGTATTTATTTCTCATAATATACTAACTGCAATAGTATATTTACTAAACTTTCACTACCCTTCCATTAAACACCTAGGCTCGAAGCGCCAAATAGGTCGACCTATTTAATATAAATTATCAATGTAAGAGAATAACCAGTTGGTGTAAAGGTGAAAATAGTTGCGAAAAATATATATGAATGGACCACTGAAAATCAGTGTTGACACCAGGTGTTCGCGAAAAGGGTTAGCATGTCCTGTCCTACCATGACTACCATTCAACCAAAGAACCCAAACACCTAAAATGTTTGAACAACAGATTTTGATAACCGTATTTAAAAAGAAAATCAGGAAAGCCATGCTGTGAGAACACTGTGTGGGTCGGTCCGGCCTGATGAACGTGGAATATGTTTCCGGAGCCTTTGGCACATGGCCCTCGATCTTTGGGATGTAATATTGAATATTTACGAAACGATGAAATAGATACTGGGGTGTACCGGCGGCGCAAATGCGGGGCTTCGCCTGGCCTTTATCCTGTAACCCTGAGTGTGTCATTGTAAATATAATCCACCCGACATCGTCTGTTTCTACGGAGAACGAACTCAGAAGTAATACACGTTTTTTTTTAACTTCGATTCTCGAACCCTAAAATGATGCTAAACCATATACTTTAGACTGAAGAGGAACCAACAAAACAAAATCATACTTTGGAATAAAACTGGTCATCCGCAGTACGTACGTCCAAACAAAGGTGTCTTTGATGTGTATTCAGTTCTTCAGTTAAAAGTGATTCGATTTTTCATTCTGAATGAGAAGGAATAAACATTATCGGGAAGCGGTTGTGGTAATAAATCACGCCAAAACGATTTTTATTTTTGAACGTAACTATAGATCTTTTCATTGAGGTCTATGTGGTTTAATCATTGAATCTAATTGCCTGTTCCATGCGATGAATAGGCCAAGATTGTTCAACTCTTATTGCCTTGTTGACTTTTTTATTATCGATTTAAATAGGTCTATGCAGATAGTAGCTATACGTCACAAACGTAATGGTTTGTCCTTACGTTGAAAGAACTGTTCACCCTAAGGTGTAGTCGTGAATGTAATCTAATCTTGGTTTCCCTAAGCCATTGTTGCAAAGAAGACAGACTACTGTAGTCCATGCAATTAATTTTTAAATTACATTTAGAGCCATTATAATTATGCTGTACAGCCGTTAATGAAAAATACTTTCTCTTGCTCCTTGATGTACGGCTTTGTTTGAATTATTACTCAAAGTATCCATATCTATGTTGGCTTTACTTTGCTGTTTGATGTTTGCTGGAACCTCCGTTACCAGGTCAGTATCAGTGGTTTATTCTCAACGAAATCTCATCATAAATTCAATTTAATATGTAATTTATTCAACAAACAATAGCTTATTTTTTCCCATGACATGGAATTAACGTTGAAAAATTATTTCTTGCTGAAGTCATTGAAAAAGAGACGATCCTTTTCTTCCATGCAATTGTAATTTTCAAAAGTAATGAGTTGAGGTCTTAATAATTAAATCCATCATCGAACGCGGATGTATCTATGAGGGCTTTTCTTCAGTGTTGGATGTTGATGCATGTCCATCGCGGGAATGATCAATGGGCGACTCCTGAACAAAATGTAACTTATGTTACAATCAGTAGCTTAATCTATTTCCCATGACATGGCATTAAAAATATTTCTTGATTAATATTCAGAAAAAAAGACGATGTTTTAGCTCGAATGAACACAGTTTTTTTCTCTGAAGCAATGCGTTATAATCACCCGTTTTTGCGATTTGCGTGAGTTAACAGTATGCCGAAAGAGTTTTCCGTCGTCGCATTGATAGTTTGTTTTATGTACCCCATAATGGTGGGCAAACGAAATAAGTGTATGACCGCAGAATATGTAGAATTACGCAAAAGACAATCAGATGTCTGCATAATGTGATTATACACATGTACCTCTGATTGACTTCTGATTAATCAGGATCCATCGATGGTCGATAATCAAGATCTATTTTGTCATAGAAGAGGTCTTATCTCATGAAGTTCATCAAAGCACGTGAACACCTTGATTTAAAATATTTGGATAGTATCTGTTGACGGTACACATGGCCTGCAAATCCTGCAATCGACCGAAATCTTCCCGTCAGTTTACGAACCGGACGTAATTGTACACAACGCGATATTGGTTCAGTCGTTGCCTCACTCATGGATGGGATTCTTTTTCATTAAAACATTTTGTGCACAGGTTATCATAAACACGCCCCTGACCTGAATGTGACTTCTTTTCCAAGGATTAAATGCAGAAGCACACACACGCATACGCACACGCACACGCACACGCACGCACGCATACAG